TTATTATTTTCTCTCTTTCCTTTTTCATTCGCGATGACAAATCGTTTTTGCCGATTATTGGTACGCTCATACGCGCCGTTTGTTCGTCGCTGCTCACTCTACTCGTATATTATTCGAATCGAGCTGACAGCACGTGACAAACAATTAAAGGACTGGAAACAATTCTCAATGTTCAGGTTGAAGAGTCTGTTTTATCGACTCTCGGTACCTGTAAAACTGTAAAACTGTAAAATAAAGATAATATCAGCTGCCGTCATTTCAGTGGATTTTGTCTGGAATATCCATTGACTCCTTGTCTCTAATAAATCTTCATTCCCCTATCCGTTCCCCTGTCTTCTCCTTGTATTTTTTTCTTTTGTGCCGGCGAGTGAATCAGCCTCTGCCAGCCATGATCTCGTTAAAGCCCCCAGTATCATTCACGCAATTTGGCTGATCAAGCGTATCCTGTAATTCAACGCGGTCAAACGATCCGCGTTCGTCCTGCGACCTTCGTGGGAACGTGATACCGTTCTTAATCGTTTATGAGCCGCTCCTCTGCTACTCGATAACGCCTGAAAAGAAAAGAATATTCCTTTCATGAATCAGTAGATTCAATTTAATTAGTAAATTACAAATGTTTACACGCTATAAATTTATAAACATTCCATAAACTGCCTTACCTCTAACAGTGCTACTAATAACAATATTATTATTTTTACTTTCAGTCTTGAGTGGTGGTCCCTTGATCGATGACGTGTATAAACTCGAACAGTACCACTGTCATTGGGGATGCAGCGATTCCAGGGGGTCGGAACACACCGTCGATGGACAAGCTTTCGCTGGAGAGGTTTGTTCAATTTGAATCAACATCTAGAAATTTAGCCAGGAAAAATTGTTGCTTCTAAAATGAAATCCAATGTTTACTACTTCTGAGCGTTTGATGTTTCGCTCTTTCTGGGCGAGGCGAAGAGTAACATCTAAAGGTTTCAACTGCAGTTTAAATGTGAAGAAGAGCGTGTTCTTAAACGACTTTAAAAGGACGCGCGCGGGATAACCGATTATGTAAACAAGTTCTCTGACATTCCGGCTAGGCTACGGGTTCCTTTCATCATTCTCTGCATCGGAGTTTGCGCGAACTAACTTTATCTTTGACCTTGGCCAAGCGTGAGAGCATTAGTTTTTATTCGTCACTTGAAGGCTGAGAAAGCCGAATCACTTGAATTACTTGAATCACTTGAATGATTCGTACTGATTCGTTCGCGTATCTTCTCGTTTTTAATCGGCACGAATTATTTTCGTTTCTATAATGATTTATAGAGTTGTCGCTGAATTTCTCACTTGTTTACCGTTTTACTAGGATTTTACTTGAAATGATTTACAAGTATTTATTTATTTGGTGATCTTGCAAAGGTGTCAAGTACACTAAACGTTTCTTAGAAACAGCAAAGTTGTTGCAAATACGGAACGTTTAAAATAAATGCAGCAAGAATTAGCTGAAAGGAAATAATTTATAAGTGTGTGCAGAACCGTACAGAACCGTGCAAAAGGCGACACGTTAGAAAAACGGAGGGAAGCGATTATGATAATTGCCGTTCCCATTAAGGTGAACATTTGTATGGAAATTGTAATTGAATTATGTAACAATGCTCAGCATCTTGGCTCTCCTTTCAAAAATACTTGTTTCAACACTTTGAAACGTGAAATATTAGCCAAGCAAAGTTTTTCTTCTTCCTTCACCGATCTATAATATTCAGAAAATGTTGTTGATGGACGCGTTCACTTTAGGAATTTCAACAGATTTAACAAAGTTCCATCCTTCTAATTTCCATTCGAAATTTCAGCATCGAATCGATCGAAAGGAAATGATTTTACTACTGGCCTTTATTCGTTCACAAAAAGAAGCGAAATCACTAGCAACGAACGTTATGAATCGTTCCGGACCGAAATTCGTTTAACAGTTATCGCGGTTTAGAGGCGGTTAAGCGACTGTAAAATTAAATATCCTCCAAGTGAGTCACACGTCTACGTCGAGCAAATATTTTTCGGTGTTGGCAGTTGACGGACCGTTGGTGTTGACTCATAGTTTGTTCGACCGGCGACTGCACAGCTTGAATTACACGCGCATTTGTGAAACATCTTCCGGACGCGGGCTGTTTGATCAACACGTCGGCTATAATGATCCAAAGAACCCAAACAATCGGCTTTCTTCCCGATCGCGCGCCCGCGCGCGCGCGTCACGCCTTTGATGAACAGTTCGCTGGAGTGTAGTTTCTGATCATTAACGTTCATCAAATTACTCGCTAATAGCTATTCTCTCGCGCGATGATGCAAACGGTGGATTTCGAGGAGCGTTCCCATTGTGCTATTCAAATATGTACTATTGTATAAGAAATAAAATTCGGACTTTCATGGACTGCTGAAGCCTTTGCGTTTCAGTCTCGCTTGAAAATTAGCCTTAATTACATTAATTAATCATACCAATCTCCTTTGTAAATCTCTAGAACTATCTTGTGGTGTGAAGAAGGAAGAAAAAATAATTTGTTTCGTCGGATAAACATTAAAATGAATTTTACAATATGAATATTTTGTAATTTGCATTTTCTGTTATCTTGTTACAGTTGCATCTAGTGCATTGGAACACCAGCAAGTACAACACGTTTGCAAAAGCCGCGAAAGCTTCGGACGGCCTCGCCGTTCTAGGCGTCTTTCTGAAGGTCGGTGATAGGCGTCTTTTTTTGTTTCCTCCCTAGTTTCCTGAAAAAAAAACCTACTGGTTTTTTCCCCCTCCACTTTGTCTAGTTTCTCTCGAGCTGCGCATTAGTCACACAATTTTCCCGTTTCCTTAAGCACAACAACCGTAAGTAAGCGCGTTGTTCGCCGCCACTTTTATCTTTACGATCGATAACGATCTTTTCCGGGAAACGTAGCACTCGAATTACATTGCCAGAAGAGGTTGAAACACTTCTAGCTAATACTTGGAATCAACGAGTGCTATAATTAACTTACAAACCTAACAACAAACTGCTATTATGGGTAATCAGTAATTGGAGCTTGTTCGGGTTAGTTTCCTTGGTAGCTTATTAGTAAATTGGGGGATAAATTTTCTCCTAACGTATAGGAGAAAAATTGTGAGCTTCGTGCCGACTTTGAAAGCAAATACAACCATTAAAAATTGTCCGTTTCAACGGAAACATTAACAACGTGCACTGAATTCTAAATCTAATTCTAAATCTAATTCTAAATCTGGACAGTGCGTCCTTGCGAGATGTAACGAGGCAGAATCATTTTCTCAGCTCCGCGTTACACCGCTCCGTGAACTTGACCGAACAAACGACTAAAGACCGACGACAAAGTTCCGCGGTTGTCACGCGAAGCGACTATTTGAATTTTCTGTGAGAAAAATTAATGCGAAACAAATGACGCGGAGTAATAGGGCACTTTCAGTTTCAATTCTAACGTGATCATTGAACTTTGAATTGAAATTGAAAATTCACTTTGACCATTCATTCGACTTCCCTATTGACATTGACCGTTTCCTCCGACCGTGAAGCCTTTCGCAGACCTCTCTACGCTAAATTCATTTACATGCTGTTTATGTCCTTTCTACGGTTGCAGCGTGCACCGACGCGAGCATATTTATAGCCGCTTAACTTTTTGCATAAGCCGATGGCGAAGCTCCGTAAGCAGAATCCGTAACAGTGTATGAGGTGCTCGTTCGCTTCATCATCGGTTGATGGAGCGGTTGTATAACGCCCAAGCCCCGAAGCACGGGGAATCGTTATCCGCGCACTCCTGGAAATCAGGCGAAACTCGCTGTTGCCATTCCCAATGTCGGAAATGCCGAGGACGAACCGGGAAAATCGCTCGCTCTAGATCGAGATCGTCTTCTTCCGGAACAGGTTAGAATTGTTAGTCGATGTAGAAGGACAAATGGGTTTTCCCTTTCGAGGGTCGTTACATGTCACAGAAATTGTTGATCTCCGTTAATAGCATGCCTGAACTCGAGGATAAATGACACGCGGTCTTGGCAAGTAATCGCAATCGGATGTTCTTTCCACGTAAAAGGAAAAGCGAGTTTTCCCTGTCAAGAGTTATTCTACTCGATAAACGGTGTCGAGAGTACAATTAACGCGGCGCGTAAGCTGATAGAATTTCATGGAATTGCTGGTTGCAAGCAACACGAGATGGCATAGCTGACAGTGAAATCAATTATTGTGTAAAGTAATCGTTTTCCTCGTCCGTACAAGAAAAAATCAATCTCTTTCGTTCCACTTGATAGAAACTTTCGGACAAATTGCTAGTTGTAGGAATTATGCAATTATGGCTGTGGAAACACAGAGAATTACTGCATGTAATCGTACACATTCGATTACACGGGTAATCATCGTTATCGCGCGTGGAAGAAAATATTGTGCAAGTATTCTTTTCATTGAAGGATCATTCTATTTAATGGACACTTTTGAACAAATTACCGATACAATTGCAACCGTGCGAACCGGAAGAATAACAAATTTCCGAGTGTAAGAAAACACTGTCCACTACGTGCCTAGATAGCATCGACAAAAATTTCAACGAGTAATCGTCGTCATCCTCACGCGAGAAAAATCAAGTTCCTTTAGAGAAGAATCATTCTACGTAACAGAAAATTCCAAATGAATTGCCACTGCACGCGTATCCGTGGAAAAACTGAAAATCATTTATTTCCTTGAAAACACTTCCGTTTCTCGCAAAATGAAGCTCGGCCCGGAAGGATACCATTCCAAAACTGTTACTTTTTCCACTAACCTCCCAGCTAATGATCCCAGTCCATGCGACTCGGAAGTAAATGCAAGCAGCGCGTTGAAATGCATAATGCGATGCCATTTGAAAAACAGCGTTGCACAATCGAACTTGTACGTTACGTTGACGAGGCTTCAAGCTTGTTCGCCATTAGATTTGTAACGATTCGATCGGACTCGCTGCATTACTCTTTGTTTTTTAGCGTTTCTCCTCGATGCATTATTATTCCATCGATCATCCGTGGCAACGTTGTACCGCGTCGTTAAACAAATTAAAAGTTCAGAACAATTCATTCGATCGATATCTATTACCAAAATGAACTTCTTAGTGGGAATTATATCGTTTAAAGTGTTTACGATAAATTGCTGCTGGAGTTGCATTTACTTGGAAAAATTCCAATCGTATATTGTACAAATGAATTTAACGATATTGTTATACTACTTGTGTGCCAGGTGGGCAAGACGCATCAAGAAATGGACAAGATCGCGCGTCTGTTGCCATACGTGTCTCATAAGGACGAAGTCGTAGAGATCGCTGAGCCAATCGATCCCGGTAAACTCCTTCCTGGTAAGCATTTATCGAAATGTTATTCTATTCGCTTGTCTCGCGACGTATCGATTAAATATTTCCTGTAAATTCAATATTCCCTCTCTACGGTACTAGTGTACGTGACATTTATTTTTTTCCGTTTGCATCGCGCATCTTCGACCGCGACCTTTCAATTCTTTACAGTCCTGCCATTTTAGAATTATGTGCACAGTTATATGAGTGTGCTTTCCAATTAGTTGGGTTTCCGATTGGTCGGCAAGCAATCTTATTACTCGACGACAGAGAAAACAGAGCATCAATAGCATTATAATCGATAACAGTCTCGCACACGTTTCGTATAACACAGAATAACGGTAAACACAAAATAATCTAGTTTTAGATTATCCGAAAGTTCAGCGTTTCATGTAGGAATTGGCCAGATGCTCTAGACTCGAGAGAAGTTAACATAATATTTCCGTCACAGTGTTTCGTGCATTACGCCGATCAAGTTGCATAATTTCTCTCCTCGCTCTGCCTGTTAATAAATTAGCGGTCGATTCGAACGTGTCCGAGGCAAGAAGCTCGTTAGCCCGTCACGCGATTTCGCTTTCCGTCGGTTCACTTTCTACAATTTATTGCGACGAGAATCTTGACCCTCGGTCAAATTCACCCCCGGTCAACGTTAAACCTCGAAATTATCCTTGAATGTGTTCGCGCACACGCATACAGACGATAATGGTTACTGGACGTATTTGGGCTCGTTGACCACGCCGCCTTGCAACGAGAGCGTCACTTGGATCCTTTTCAAGAAGTGCATCGAGGTGTCTCATCATCAGCTCAACATCTTCCGTAATCTACGAAAATTCCCTCGGGGAGAAGAGTGTCCCTGCCACGAAAATCATGGAGTGGTGAGTGATTTCGTTGCGTATCTTACCCTGCCATTTACCAATAACTTTACTGCAGTCTCGAGTTAAATATCTCGGGAGCATTTTCAAATGGTTTACCGCTTCGTTCGCGTTCCGTGTCGCGCTCGTCGTTTGTTTCTCTATCCCGCCAACGGGCTTTTGCGCGCGCGTGCACACACATTCTTATAATGTACACGGGAAATCCGCACCTATCCTACACGTTCATCAATCATTCGTAGGATGAATCGATCAAAGGTTGATTATTCTACAGTCGACCACCTATGTCAAGCACCTTCGTGAAATTAATTTCCGTCGAGATGTTTCGAGAATGATGCTACTCAAGAATTCGACATGCAGTACGCTAGCGGGCCGCTGAGAACTTGCCGTCCCCCAAGTGTGATCCCCCGGTCGTTTATTTTCTTTTTTGTTTAGCGGTGACGTGGCCTCGAATGAATTTCAAATTGGCGGAATCACGGTCCCATTTCCTAATTCCGGCGGCGTGGTCCGCTCTCTTTGGTTCCAGGTAATCAACAACTTCCGTCCGCCGTTGCCGCTAGGGAATCGCGTGTTGCGCGAATGCGGCAGCTTCTGAGTGCGTGTCCTGGTTCCGAGGCAATTAGATCGGGTCCGTTCGGTGTCCAGCCACGGCCCGGAACTTGGAACCAGTCGATACCGGCCGAAACACGACCAAACGGAAATCAGCGAATCACCAGACGAGACGATAATCGCCGCCGCTAGACGACCTTTACTTTTCATCGTTCGCTTCCACCGCCATTCGCACGATAGATGGGTCGTCCTGTCGTATCCGATACATGACGAACGATAAGGATGAGGGCGACACTCTTCCTTCGCAACTCCCGGTGAACACGATTGTTTACCGAAACCCGGACGTGCCTCATAGGTTTGGGAACCAAGTGCAATCAACCGTAGCCATAGTGAGAGGAATCGATCCGCTTCAACCGTAACCGTGTAGAGATTAGATTTCAATCGGAGACTACTCCCAACTTCCGTACTCGTTGTTTTAGATCGGCGTTTCTCAACCTTCTTGCCGCCTAACCTAATATATTCGTAGCAAATAGTACCGTAACTTGCGTCTCGATCAAACCATACTCGAATATTCTACGGCGGGATATCCATACTTATAAGATCTAAGACGAAAGGATTTCATAATTAATCGAACATCATTTTACACGTTCCTTTTTAGCGTGGTGCGACGTGTCATGAAAAACCTAGGTTGTGACTCGTAGGTTGAGAAACTCTGTTCCAGGTTTACTCTTCCGTGTGTCCGAGCGAGACCGCTCGTGTTCAATTGCGATGAATAGAAAGAAGGCATATACATATATATAGATAGATATAAATGATTGAATATTCTGTAAAACATGTTGTCTCTTAAAGAAAACATTGTATTTCGACATGATCAAAAGTCCAAACGTACAGGGAAATGTGTAAAACATTGGCTAAATACATAGAAATTTTCTATTTCGGAATCATCTCTTCAGAGTCCCAAGCTCAATCAAATTGAGAACATGTGAGTATTTTCAAAAAGAATAGTAAAAAATTCGTACGAGTCCAGTACCATCCATTGCTTACAATCGACTTGTAAAAGAGAATTGTCGAGCGATCGGACAAAATCGATCCTGATTACTACAGAAAATTAATAGAATCGGTATCCAAGTGATTTCATTTAGTTGGCAAAACACAAGGACTTTGGACAAAATATTCGACATTTCTTTAAGGTTAACGAAAACATATGGACAAGATGGTGAAACTCCGATTCAATGAACGTTTACTTGTAATTACAAACGAAAAGAGATGGAAAATGTTTTCTCGTTTCTTCTTTTTTTCCTATACCTTACTGTACATGATGTAAAATGAACAATTGTGCGAAAACTAATCATTGAATCAGTTTTGCTGCTCACTGTACATAAGATTGTTAAGCAGGTTAACTTTATTACGGTTTGTAGAGGAAAAGAATGTTGACGACGATTTATTCATGTCGATTCGTGCAGATGAGATCCGTCCATTATCATCTGATCCATCGATCGAAGAACCAAGGACGCCTTTCAGCGAAGAACGTATATCGTTCTATATTGTTATAAGATTCATCTATAAATATCTACATATGTATGTACGTTATGTGTGCGCGTAAACACATTCGCACACAAATGTGCTGTGTCCAGAATTTACGATTGTTCGTAACGCTTTGCGAGGCTATCGGACAGCGAGAATCGATTCTACTTGTTTCCGCAGTTGACTAAGTAATTCTACAGGACAGGCGAGAGAGTTATTTTTTTAAATTTCTTTGAAAATTCTCACTAAAGGAATGACCAATGTTGTTTCGGTATGCCTCAGTCAGAGAGTTATCGACAAATCGTGCACGCCTGTGCTCATCGTGTGCCTTCTACTTAACAAATTCGTCGTCATATCAGTGTGTAAATGGTCCAATACAGACGAGACTATAATTATCTAGACTGCGGATGTTTTTACGAATCTAGATTTTCGTGGGTCGATCTACAGAAACCTTTTCTACTCGGTCAAACATTCTCACTTATTATAAACAACGAAACATTAAGCATTTTATTACACAGACCCCGAAGCAGTGACGTCCACGGGCTATTTACAAGCTTCTCGTTCATGCCGTTTCGATGATAATAAACTTAGCAAAGTACTAGATGTATGTATTTATATCTCCGTATAAGTTAGACACTCGTTATTCATACCAAAAGTGATTCTATCTATAACGAAACGAGCACGAAGCGTTGCTGTTTGTTGAAAGTGAAACATTATTTTCTGATATTTCTATGTCGACGATCTTGACACGTCAACACGAAGAATCTGCAGACAAGATTAAAAGCAAAGAATTATTAAACGATTTTACAATTATTGCAACTCGAAGATTCATAAATAGTTTCTTGGCTGTTAACTGTTAGTTCCAAGAAATTAATCAAGCGTGTTGAGACAGTTCGATAAAATGCCGGCGAGTGTATCATCCATCCTATCGAACCAAGGATCGTACCGTGTGGTAACATTAAACCTTTTTCGTATCTGTAATCATCGAGCGTGCGGACAAAGATGATTTCCATCGCGAACGAGCATCGAATTTCCTCCGTATACTGCAACTGTTATTTAACGCCTCAACTTTCTTTCATTTCCACACGAATGATTTGCTGTCTTTGAATTGTCAACAAATGCTTCTCGACAGAACAACGTCTCCGATTTCTTTCACTTCCTTAGGATTCTGTTGTAGTTTGCGAGTATTGTAACTTGAAATGGATTTACCGATAGCTATAGAGGGATTTATAAACTGGGCAACGAATAGCTCGGTGTAGATTGAAATTAGGTTGATCGGAAATTTCTGTCACATTTCCCTTCATCCTTCCAAACAAGTATCAGCTTTAATAACCGGGGCTATATACCCGTTAAATCGAGCAACCGAACAACCACAAATAGTTGTATCACTTTTCTTTTTCTTTTAAATTATCATGATAATGATAAGAGGTAGGTTGCAAATGTTTCTCCAACGGTGTATATTTTCACGAATCTTTATTCACGGAAATTTCAAACGAAGCTTGTACAAAGTTGACAAATCGGGATCTAGTAACAGAAGTTTTCGATTAACGCGACCGTAGGCCGTAGACCGTAGACCGTGTCGCGGATATTCGATAAAATCCGGGTACTTGCGAAAGAACTCGAGACCGGAGGGTCTGTTTACATGTTTCATTTGATTCCGAAGTATACTCCAGTGACCGTAAAGGACCTTGGTTGTACGAGAGAACACTCTGAGAGTGTCCAGCTTTTAATATACCGGTTCTGAACGCGTGCTCGAAACACGCGTGTCCGCCCTTTCAACACATTCTCTCTCCTCTGTTCTTCCTGGAACATTCTCTGGTCTTTCGCCATAAACCTGTATTTTACAGTTACCAGCGTCATCGAGCATCGTCCAACGGGATCGTCCTGTTTGATTTTATGTCTGATGGCCGATTCTTTTTCCTTTTCAATTTCTCTATAATTATTGTTAAACACGTGAAACAAACAATCTATTTGTATTTCGTAGCATCGACTGTGATAAGAAAAAGAAATATGTAATAAACTGACGATATGAGATCATGAAACTTGTTTTGGCGTTTTGTCTGTACCCTTAAGGAGAAACGAAATCGGTTCTCCTAGTCCAGGCCACTTATTCGTTCCATCTTCAGTCCACCGGTGGTAAGTGGCACAGAAACAGCATTTCTCGTTAGTTCATAGTTCTGCTTTGTAATCAAAAAAGATACAAACAATCGAATGCTATTCGGAACATGTTCAGCTACATAGGTTTTTATTTATTTGTATTCATTTGCACAGAACCATGACAAAATCATTATATCTGTAAAGAACAGTTGCCAAGTAATTAATGCAACATAAAACACTTTGAGCCGCCGAACGACGAAATCGCCCTACGGAAAGCTACAGAATAGATAATTACAAAGTTCAGGGAACGTTAAATGATGTGTAAAGACGGTTGCAAGTCGACAGGAGCAACAGATTTGGTTGCGGCCGACACTAGCGCCATCTGGCGGCAAGGCATTCACGAAGCTTTACCCTATACCTGTAATGTGTAAGACAAGGGCAAACATACCGTGCGACAAAGACAGACATAGCGTTCCCGGTGCCACCTCCCTCGAAAAAGCATCTCATCGGTCCCTGGTACGTACGCGTGAAGCATCAACACAGAGGAGGTATCACGGGAGTGCGGCATCTAGCGGCAACGGCTGCAAACTAAACGCGACATGTCAATGGAGAAGAAATCAACGTAATCAACAGCTAATTAATTATCAACTATACTATCACAAACAAATTGCTAAACTTTGCAATTTAAGATTCTAGAAAGAACCCGCACCTACCTTCCTATTTCGCAGCAGAATAGATTTTGTGTCGCGTTAATTATTTCACAATTATTACCCGAGACGATGCCAGAAGGTAACGTAGAAATACTTGACAGATGAATGGTAAACAATAAATTTTTTCACTTAATAGGGACAAATTCAGAGCAATTATGTTCGTATAAATTAGGCTATACTTTAGAGAAAATTCAGTAACATTTTGAACCACATTCGAGTAATAATTAATATGATATTATCGATTACCTGGTGGGTTCGCTGCGTCGGTAGGAACGTGGATTGGTGGCGCCATCTAGCGGCCGAGAACTTTAGAAGATTCTCCCTGTACCCATAATGTGCAAGACAAGAATAGTAATACTGTGCGACAAGGACAAAAATTCACTCTCCGATGATACCTCCTTGAAAAGGCATCTCATCGGTTCCTGGTACATACGCGGGAAGCATCATAAATAAGGAGGTATCCGGACGTGCGCCATCTAGCAGCAACAGTTACGAACTCAATGCGACATGTCGATAGAGAAGAAAACAACGAAATCAGCAGCTACCAAATTATCATCTGTACTATTACTTATGAATTGTTAACCTTTTCAACTTAAGACTGTTGAACGAACGTTCCTGTACCTTGCTATGTCAAATGCAATCGACAGGATTTCGTGTTGCGTCAATTATTTGATAATTCTCATCCTCGAGGTTGTCAGTAGGTTACGTAGAAATTTTTACAGAGACGCAGTGAACAAATAAGTTCTTCACTTAATAGGCTGAAGCTGTCAACATTTATGATCGTCGAGATAAGGGTAAACTGTGTGGAACATGCAGTAGAATTTTGAAAAACGTTCGAATAGTAACTAATAACTAATTAGCGATTATCTAGTGAGTTCACTGCGTCGGTAAAAGAGACGTATGGTGGCGTCATCTAGCGGCCAGGAATTTCCTAAGCTTATCCCTATACATGTAATGTGTCAGACAAGGACGGTTATACCGTGCGACAAGGACAAAAAATTACTCTGAAGAGACACCTCCTTGAAAAAGCATCTCATCGATTCCTGGTACGTACGCGCGAAGCATCAGGGCTGAGGAGGTTTCGAAAGTGCGCCATCTAGCGGCAACAGCTACAAACTAAACGCGACATGTCAATGGAGAAGAAATTTACGTAATCAGCAGCTAATTCATTATCAACTATGCTATTTCAAATAAATCGTTACAATTTGCAATTTAAGATTGCAGGATGAACCTTTCCCTACCTACCTATTTCGCAGCGAAAGAGATTTAGTTTCGCGTTCATTATTTCTCAATTATTACCCGAAACGAGGTCAGAAGGTAACGTAGAATTTTTTGATAGATCAATGGTTCAGAATCAATTTTTTCACTCAATATTGATAAATTGAGAACAATAATGTTCGTAGAAATTAGGCTATACTTTAGAGAATATTGAGTAAAATTTTGAACCACATTCGAGTAGTAATTAATAAGTTATTATCGATTACCTGGCGAGTATGCAAAGTCGGCAGAGAATTTTGGAAGCTTCTCCCTGTACCCGTAATGTGCCAGACAAGTACAGATATACTATGTGACAAGGACAGAGATTCACTCTCCGGTGGTACCTCCTTGAAAAAGCATCTCATCGGTTCCTGGTACGTACGCGCGAAGCATCAGGACTAAGGAGGTAACCGACTGTGCGGCATCTAGCGGCGACAACTGAGAACTAAATGAGACATATCGATAGAGCAGAAATCTACGAAATCAGCAGCTAAATCATTATCAACCGTACAACTACAAACAAATTGTTAAACTTTGCAATTTAAAATTGTAGAATGAACCTTCCCCTACATTCCTGTTTCACAGCGAAAGAGGTTTTGTTGCGCGTTAATTATTTGTTAATTATTACTCGAGACGATGTCAGAAGGTAACGTAGATTTCCTTGATACAACAATGGTTGACAATCAATATCATCACTTAATAGCGAGAAATTGTGAAGAACTATGTTCGTAGAAATTAGGCCATACTTTAGAGAATATTGAGTAAAATGTTGAGCCACACTCGAGGAATAATTAATAAAATATCGATTACCTGGTGGGTTCGCTGTGTC